ATAAGAGTTTAAATATGAACCATGCTGTCTCTTATTTTTTTAATTTTTTAACATTTTTATTTATTTTTGAGAGAGAGAGAGAGAGAGACAGAGCATGAGTGGGGGAGGGGCAGAGCGCGAGGGAGAACCTGAAGCAGGCTCCAGGCTCTGAGCTGTCAGCACAGAGCCCGTCACAAAGCTCAGACTCACAAACTTAAGATCATGACCTGAGCTGAAGTCGATGTTTAACCAACTGAGCCACCTAGGTGCCCCTGAACCATGCTGTTTATAACAACACCTGAATTGATACTTCATGATCAGTGCATGAACTAGAACCTGTAAGTCAGGAGAACACTGACTAACTGAATAGATAGGGGTGACTAGATAAGTACCTGGAAGCTTCTAAGCCTCAGATTCCTCCTAAAAATGGTATCACCCTAAAAAAAAAAAAAGGCTTTACATTGCTTGTTCTACAGGAGTTTTTTAAAAAAATCTAATTCACACACACACACACACACACACACACACACACACACCCTAAACATAGAGAACAAATTCTCATGGAAGATAACACTGTCTCAGGGCAAAACTACTAGATATCTAAAAAGTGTCTTGAATTTTTTAAAAGGATATGAAAAATGATAAATAAATAAGCACACACTAGTGATCTGAGTCCTGAAATCTGACGCATGAAAACAGCAGCGGTGCAAGCAGTCGCATTTGGGATGAATAGGAGCAGGAATGAACGAGCTAATGCATTCAGTAATGCACCAGGTAGCCCACAGGGAAAAAGAAGATAACACAATTCTGTCTGAAAGGGTTTTAAAGTGAGCCAGGCAGTGCAAATCTGGGCCCCCTGCCTCTATGACAGACATATGAGGAGCCTGACCAGCTTCAGAAGCCACGCAATTTCTGGCCTCTTGCCTTCATACCAGGTGAGCATGGAGGGAAGGGCATCAAACATGATTCACAGAGGGGTGCTGTAAGTGACTGCCCAAAAGAATGCTCAAATGAGGTGTGGGAAAATGGGGACCTGACAGTCTATTTTCAACCCAGCCTCCCCTCTTCTAGGCTAGCATGTGGGCTCACCCCAGCTATGTGCTGATTTACCAGTTTTTCCCCAAACTGAAAAACGCCCTCTTCTACTTCGCCACATTCTGTCTCTTAGAAGGTGGGGCCCATGAATTCCTATTTTTAAAAAGCTCCTCAGGGGATTATAACACACGATAGCCAAGTCCATGTCACTCTCGAGTATTTATCTTATGCTGCCTTCTGTTGCAATTATTTTTAGTAGTTGGGTGCCATGTTTAACTTCACTTAAATGGAAAACTCCTAGAAGGCAAGTGTTTAACACTTTTTTCAAGTCCCTCCTCCCTGTACTTAGGAGAGAGCCTAGTACCCAGTAAATGTCAATAAAGCTGGTTGGCTGAAAGAATAAATTCTATCAAACAGAATGAAAGAACAAGTGAACAAATGAACACCATAGTTTGAGGGATGTCAAAGAGCCAGTTTTCCCACTGGCCTGCCACACAGTACCCTCAAATCCCCAACACTTACATATTGGGCACTGTTTCCAGACCATGCCTGTTAAAGTATACACAGTTTCCTGAGAGGGATAACATCAACTGAGGATTACAGTAAAAGAGCATGAGGGGCTTGAGGGACAAAGGGAAGAGATAAAAGCATATTTCAGGAAAGGCCCAGAACTCTGGTACAAGAGGGCAGGACTGCAAGTAATGTAGAGGTTAATGAGGGGAAAACAGAGGTGCTTCTCAGGAAAGAACTGAGAAATCAGGGGCTCAAAAAGGGCTGGTGGAAGACGTCGAAAACCCCGCTCCTTCCTAATTTTGTCTAGGGCTCGCCATAAATTTAAGAGAGGAAGGGAGAGAGGAGCAATGGAAGAAATGAAGTCAGCTTTTAAAAGTGAACATGCTGAGCAAAGTAAAAATACAGTTCAGATTCCAACACCACCACATCAAAGGGTCTAACTATGCATGTGCACCAGGGTTTTATTGTATTACCTAAGCAAGTAAATTCTCAGGTTTGGGAATATTTGTTAAGGTTGAGATTATATTATAATATTGTATTGAAATTTTATAACACCATTACCATAACTACTTTTAAAAGAAAAGAGACAGACAAAAATAGGAGAAAGAACAAAAGAAAATTAAAGAAAGGAAAAAGGGGAGGACGGAAGGACGGAAGGATGGAAGGAAGGAAGGAAGCCAGGAAAGCTAGGCCTTGCATGGGGGAACTGGCCAGTGAGGGAAATCTCAGGTGTCAGAAACAAGTGCGGATGCAAGAGCTGGAGGATGAAGGCACAGCTGACATCTGAGTAACGGGCATAGCAAATAATTTCCATGTCCAGATGGATGGGCCACAGAACCACCTGTGCTTTGCCAATCTGGTAAGTGTTTAGTTTCTATGGTTAGTAACCCATTATATCCCTTGAGCTCATTATTTAGGGAAAAAAATACTTGAAAACACTGTCAAGTTAAATTGCAAAAGAGGAAGCAAATAAACTCCTCATTGACTCACTTATTATTCAGCAAATGTGTATTTGGTGTCTACTGAGATACTAGGAGAAACTCTGATGAACACAGAAAAGAACCCAGCTCTCCAGACACCCTCAATCCCACTAATGTTTCTTGGTTTCTGCTTATAGTAGCTAACTTAGAGCTTTTCCCCACTTTTAATATCCCATCCTTCTTTCTAGAACAAAGAAAAACATGCAGACAGCCAGGGATTTGGGAAAGCAGCACAAAGGATGGTTTGTATCTAGTAGCTTCTTACTACTAATATGTTTCCAGCATGTCTTGTCATTTGTTAATCACTGCTTTATTTTTCATCTGCAGCCATCTAAAGTAAATTGCCACACAAATGAAAAATACAGCTGTCTTGGGGAACCACCACTTAGATGTTATATAACATTTAGTACAGAAGCAGTGTGGTACAGGAAAGAGCATTTGGATCAGAAGCAAAGAGACCAGAGTCTAGTCCTGGACTAGCTACTCTCACCCTTTGGACCTTGAGAGAGTCGTTTACTCTCTCTAGGCCTTACTTTTAACATATGTAAAATGACAGGCAGGATCAGACGATCCTTGAGGTGGCTTTCTGCTCTAAATTTTTTTGCTCTAAAGTTCTGTAGTAAAAAAATTATTACAAGTTAAGTATTTTCTAACTCTGGCACTTAAAAAAAATGTAGTACCCATTCTGAATGTTTAAAAATAGACACCTGAAAATAATTCACAGATACGAGACGTTCTAAGATCTTAAAAAAAAAATTGGCACATAATGCTATTATGAAATCCCCATTTAGTGATTTCATATTTAAGCAGTTTAATTGCAATGAAATCTCAAGTTCTTCATATTTTTCTTCTACAAGTTTCTTCTGGTATGTAAATTTCACAGCCATGTTTAACTTCAACACTCAGTTTCCACTCCCTTCATACCATCATTTATGTCACTTCCCTTTCACAGCACCTCCAGTGTTTCTCTCCTTTACCCAGCATATCTTGCTAGCTATTCCTTTTTCAGTAAGCTATCATCCCAATTCCTTATATGAATCACTAGGTCCTAAGAACTTAGAAATGAATTATGGGAAAGAGTTTTCTAAGCTGACCTTTTTTTTTCCCCCTAGCATACTGTAAAGAAAGGGAAATTGACTAAGTCATCCCTCTGCTTAAAAACTATCAAGCCTTCACCTTTATTTACCAAAGAATTCCTAAACTCCTTGTCTTGGCATTCAAGGCCTTTCACAAATTGATGAACTTGAGAAACCACATGCTTGATGATCTCTGGCCAACCTGAATGGCTACACCAAGTGCCATTACCTCATCTCCCCATCCCCACCTAGGAATATCCTATTTATGGTACAAAGTCTGGCTCAAGACCCACCTTCCTGATCAAGCCCTTCCTGGCACTCTGTAGGAGCCTGCTCAGTCAGTGTGACACTTACTTCTGCTAAGTTCTCAGTGGCAGAGGGGATGATTTATGCACTTGATGGTTTATGATGCTGCTCAGCCCCTGTCCTGCTTCTAGATCTTGTCTTCCCCATAAAAGGGCTTCAGACTCCTGTGTATCCACCCCAGGGCCTGATGCTGTCACACAGCTGCACAACTCCAGGGGGCAGCATTTCCTTCTACATAACAATGGTTTCACACACAATTCATTCAAGTTTTCACCCTGAATAAGAGTTGCTGGTAAGAGAAGTGATTACACATAAGCACATAAACTGCCCCTGTCCCCAAACAAACAAATGGTTCCTTCTATACCCATGATTTTGGTTCAAGGATGCAGAGCTAAACTTGGAAATGAATAGAAGAAAATGTATATAATTTTAAGATGACAGAACAAAGGAAGTTTTATTTGAAGACAAATTCTGTGTCATTCATAAGCATAAGAGAGAGCTGACATAAAGGTGTCAAAAACCTCTAAATAAGGTGTGGGACAGAAGACAGAGGAGTGGGGGGAATCACCTTGGCAGATGGATGTTCCCTGTGTTCCTAATTAACATTCAGCGTGCAGACAGGTATTTCCATCAGTGAGAATTACTGGCATATAAACCAAACTCTGTCTTCTGAATTGGTAAAATGGTCCAAGGTGCAATGCTACGACATCCAGAGGGCAAGGAAAAAACATAGTACTTGTTTTCTTCAAAAGGAGAGCATGTGCATCAGTATATTTTAATGAAATCTTTGCTTACACTTTTCAGTTAAAATGTTTTTTTTTTTCTTTTTCTTTTTCTTAAGCAGGCTTCATGCCCAGCGCGAACTTATGACCCTGAGATTAAGACCTGGGCTGAGATCAAGAGTCAGATGCTTAACTGACTGAGCCACCCAGGTGCCCCTCAGTTAAAATTTTCTAGTTTGGGATGTAATATAGAAAAACAGTGATTACCACATTTTATAATGGATGAGATGATTCTAGTGAACATAATTTTTAGATTATTTTGGGATTCTTCAGGAGGAAAAATGTCCTATAATACACCAGAAGGATTTTCATGGTACAGATAATAGTACCTGTTTTCTTCCCTAAGGTAATTTTCCATGGCTTGAGTCTCCCGTGCCAACTTCTGGGATCTTGTGTAGTCTCTCCAGGCCCGCAGGACTTTCAGTTGAAACTTCCAGTCAGACAGGGTCCCAGCTTTTCCCAGCTTGATCCTATGATCAAGGATCAGCTTGTGCCAGGCAGAGAAATACCGTTTTTGACACTGCAATGGAAACGTGGAAAATCACCACTGATTGGCTCTAGTGTTTGTAATATCTAATACTGAGAGCTGTCACCTCAGGTATCCCCCTCATACTTTTTCTAACAAATCTAGCAACTGTCGTCTTGATGGAAGGAGAACCAAGTATAACTATTCAAGTCATGCAGCTGAGGCTCGTGGCTTAAACTATAGTACTTAATTCTCATTCTCAGGCACCAGTCCTTTGGGAAGCTGGAGTAGCAGTCATATCTAAGACCCCAGTTAAGGGACTTTTTTGAAAAGCTTGAAACACCTGCTTCTAGGAGGATGGCCAACTTGTCTTGGAGCTTAAAATACCAACTGATTCAGACGCCTGGGTGGCTCAGTGGGTTAAACATTTGACTCTTGATTTCAGCTCAGGTCATGATCTCACAGTTCATGGGTTTGAGCCCTACATCGGGCTCTGTGCCGGCAGTGCAGAGCCTGTTTGGGATTTTCTCTCTCCCTCTCTCTCTGTGCCCTCCTCCCCAATAAATAAATAAAATAAACTTAATAAAATAAAGTACCAACCAATTAGTTAATTTCTGTTACTAACACCTGCTGATATCCTACACAAAGGAATATAGAAGATCCCATGAGGATGGAATGGGGGTCTCTGGTGTCTGGAAACAGGATAGCTAAAACAGCTTCAGCTGGGCTACCATGACCATGGGAGAGCTTTGGTGAGCAGGTCTAGAGAGACTAGATGCTCACGATGCTTGTGATCTTCCACTCCATGCATCTGACAACAAGTAAGACAAGTTCCACTGACCCTAAAGATATCCCCAGAGAAGTACTTTACTCTCTGGTTTGAGAAAATCTCTGAGATCTAGTCGTTGCCTTCATCTTCCACCTTCACAGTAAACTTAATGTTCCCACCACATCACATAACTTTCAGCTCTTGGCCTTATATCAACCACACTGCTTAACACCTTCCTATGTTCATACTAATTTCTTGGTCCTCCATTTCTGCCCTCTCTTTATCTGACTACTTCAGGACTCACTTCTCCCTGGAAGTTCTCCTATCACAACTACTTTCTGCAAATCTCAGTGCCCTTCCACTGTGTTCTCAGCAACCTCTGCTTCTTCTATCAAAACTCTCATTACACTGTATTATAATCACCTGTTCACTGGTTTCTACTAGACTGTGAGCCTCCAGAAGGAAGGGAGTGGGTCCCATGAATAGAAATGGAAAATCCGTGTTGGTAGCAATAAAACAAAGTAACTTCATAGAAAGTGACTTTGTGGGAAGTATAGGGAATGCCTAATGACCAGCTTCAAGCACTTGTTAGCTCTACCAGGATCATCTGTACTTACTGCTTCTATCTGTGTAACAATACTTATCTTTCACTATTTCAACATTTAGTAAGCAACCACCACTGCGTTTAAATTTGGGAACTCTGAACAAAGTTAAGATATAATCTCTCCTTTTGAGAGATTATAGGGAGAGAGGATATATAAATTGAAAGATTGATAACATTAGGAAGGAAGCATATGTTGGAATTCTTACAAATAGACCATTTGTCCAGGAATAACAAGAATTCAGTTATATTTCCATTTAGACAAACTACAAAATCTTCCCTATTGTTATTTATCAGGAGAAACCATGGCAAACTTTAAAAAGCCCTTGTTCCCTTTCCATTATGTCAAATGAGGGAATACTGTGCAGACGTTTACCTTAGATGCCATGGAAGGAAGGGAAGGAGGGAGGGAAGGAGGGAGGAAAAGAGGGAAGAAGGGAAAAGAGAGGGAGAGAGGAAGGGACATTTGCTGAATACAGGATATGCCTGCAGTCATAAAAAAGAAAAGACACATAGCTACCAAGTTGAGGGGATATACTTTTTGCATTATTTGCCTATCTAACCCACAAAATAGACCATGGAAAAAAAATATATTGTTAACTTGTGTGTCATTGTCAAAAGAAAATACCAGATTCATTTAAGATATTCCTCCTGAACGATCTGATGAAATATTCTGTGTGTAGCTATCTCTAATTTTAACTCCTGGAATGTTTCTAATGATGAAATAGTATAAACATAATCCACCTGGACAATAATAACACTATTAACAGTGTCCTTCTTGGATTTCTATATTCCTTGTCTACAAAGTTCAAAGCATTGCTGTAAGCACAATATTACATGCACTGTTTTATTAATTTGTAGACCATCATTACCAAATGGAGAGACTGCAGATATTATGATTTACTTTACAAAGCTAAACTTCAAGTAGAGAAGGGTTAATCACTAAATTCACAGAGTGAAAAGCTAGTGGCATACCTAAGGTTAATACTGAAATATTCTGGCATCCTGATGACCCAATCTATATTAGGCAAAAAGTCTTCTTTTTAAAAATGAAGGGCAAATTTTTTGCTGCTTTTATACTGAAAGAGAAAAAACTCAATATATACCTTACTATGGTAGAAGAGCACTGCTGGAACATATGTGAATTTAAAAGGGCAAAATTTGTGTTAATAAATGCTATTGTCATTATATGTCTTTATAATTAAGATTATCGCTTCTCGGCCGTTTGGCTAAGATCAAGTGGAAATAGTTAAGATTAGACTTTAAGGGCAAAATGATCAGTTTTAACGATCTATGATTCAGTTTCACTACATAAAAGTTAGTAACAGCCAAGTGACAGACTCACAGCAACTGCTTTCTTTTCTTTTCTTTTTTTTAATACATTTTATTTTAGAGAGAGAGAGCATGAGAAGGGGAGAGTGGCAGAGGGAGAGACAGAATCTTAAGCAGTCTCCACACTCAGAGCAGAACCCAATGCAGGGCTTGATCCCACAACTCTGGGATCATGACCTGAGTAGAAATCAAGAATTGGAAACTCACCCAGCTGAGCCACCCAGGAGCCCTCATAGCAACTGCTTTCTCGAAATTCACTTGTGATTGGTCTTTCCTGACTACTCAAAAGAGCAATCTCATTAAAGTAAAAAAAATAAATAAATAAAAGTGTGAATCAAAAATAGCCACTTAGTTATTCTTGATTCATGGCAAACATTATTTCGGCAAATAGGATTCCCATAAATGTACTTGGAGGAAAGTATTTGGGAAAGGAAAATACTCTCAGTCCTGTCTTCTCTGGAAGATGCTAGCACTCTGCTTTTATTTAGAAGTGATGAGAAGTGGCATACTTCCATAGTCATGATCTATTTATTCTCTCTATTACCTCTCCCCCCAGCTGAGTCCCTGCTGTTCCCGGGCCTGCTTCTCCTTTCAGTGCCACTACAATAGTGCTCTATCCTTTTGCTCTTTGAAACAAGAACTATTATTGAAAGTCACAACTGTGTTGGAAGAGGAATACATTCTGTTTAATACATATTATTCAATAAATTTGGTTTCAGAATTTAATGGGTGTTTTTCTTTGATGTTTATTTATTTTTGAGAGAGAGAGAGAGACAGACAGAGCATGAGCAGGGGAGGGGCAGAGAGACAGAAGGAGACGCAGAATCCAAAGCAGGCTCCAGGCTCTGAGCTGTCAGCACAGAGCTCAACGCGGGGCTCGAACCCATGAACCGTGAGATCATGACCTGAGCCGAAGTCCGACGCTTAACCGACTGAGCTACCCAGGCGCCCCTCAGAATTTAATGTTTTAACTCATCAGACAACTATTCTGACCTCCCTCCATTTCTTACCTAGTTCCTTTATTTCTGTACCATGTTTTGTTTCTGATAGATTTTCAACTACGGTTATATATTCTTTTTACTAACTTGCACATCTTTTTTTTTTTAAATTTTTTTTTTTCAACGTTTATTTATTTTTGGGACAGAGAGAGACAGAGCATGAACGGGGGAGGGGCAGAGAGAGAGGGAGACACAGAATCGGAAACAGGCTCCAGGCTCTGAGCCATCAGCCCAGAGCCTGACGCGGGGCTTGAACTCACGGACCGCGAGATCGTGACCTGGCTGAAGTCGGACGCTTAACCGACTGCGCCACCCAGGCGCCCCCTAACTTGCACATCTTTTTAACGTAGTTGTGGTGAGAGTTAAGGCTTTGTACAGGTAAGTAAAATACAGAAAATCACTGTGGGAAAGACTGTTCCTAAATACATATCTATAATAATTTATAAAACAAAATACTACACAAAGTGAAATTGAGTAAGTTTTTAAGGGAAATGCTTCTCATCCTCTCAAAATCTTCCATAAGACATCCTCTGATCGTTAAGGACTCCACTCAAGAGGAGAAATGACAGCTCGCCCTGCTAAATTTATTACCTGCACTGGAGTTGCCCTCATTTTGTTGGCAAGAAAAGCTCTTCCCTGACGTGTAATCACACTGCTGTCGTGGGGAATGATTGGCATCAGGTGGAACAGCAATTTGCTATCTAATCTTCGTTGTAATTCTGACCCTGTCACTAGAGACACTTGTTCTGATTAATGAAGTGGGGAACTCATCAAAATTCCTCAGCTATTTCCCTTTTGTCAGAAATCTCCATGATAATTGCATCAAAATTCTCAGTCATGGAAAAATAAACAATGCATTGTAAAGAGGACAAAAATGTCAACAAGTTTACAGTTTATTTCTGAACAGAACTGAACAGAACTAACTGTGGTGCAACTAGTGCTGGGGGGGCGTTGACCAATGTTATTGCTCCGATGTTAGCAATAAAACCACAGGCTCTGTGGGGCCCCAGGTGACCCCTGGCTGCTCCCTGGCCAAGAGGAACAGGCACTCTATAGCTACAACAGGAGGCAATCCTCAACTATTTTCCTTTTGGGGACCAACAGAGCTAGGCTAAAGGCCCCATAGAACCTATGCAATCCTGGGGGGTGGGGAAAGGAAGATCCTTATTCAGGCAAAAATTCATGCCCCTGAGAAGGAGTACCCTGTGACGCACCCTATTCCTGATTTTCATCATTACGCCCCAAAGAAAAGAGAGGAAGTCATTGTGTCCCCTACCCCAACATTAAATACTCCTATAATTAATTACATTAGGGAAAATACATTCAGTTCCCTGCCCACAGCACTGAGACCTGG